GGATTTGTTTCAGGCGCAGCACACAATAAGGAGGCAGGAAATTCTTTCTAACTTTTTTCAACAACAACGACCTAGTAAATCCCACACGTGGGGTCTTAGGAGGATAGTGTGTACGCATACCTTAATCCTACCCCGAGGGGGTAGAGATGCTGTTTCCGATAGACCCTCAGCTCAAGAAGACGAAAAGAGACAAAACATCATAGACCTAAAACTCTGCACTTTTTTCATTTTTGGAAAATAATTTGGAATATTGACTTATTTAATAACTGAAATTGCAATTGATGTTGCATAAAGCTAAAGCTTTTCTTAGGAGAAGTTATAGGTGATTCATCCTATATTGTGCTAGTTTTATGTTGTTAGCTAAGTAGGTAAAGTGCAGATTTTTAGGCATGATCATTTCTTCAATGTAGATATATGACTTCACAGGTTGTTTGAAATATAACAAATGACTTTAGTTCTTATTTAGGTGCAAGCTATAATGTTTTCTTACTCTTCACTCTTCAGTGATGATTGCTCTACTTTTGCATAACATGATTAAAGAAAAGCATAAGAACTAACCCATTTACATATAGCCAGAATTAGCAGCTCATATCTAATTCTTTCCCACTCTTTCTGCTGTGGAATGTGAACCAAAGTGATTCCAGAACCTTTCAATTTCTGATTACTGCTGCGCTTCTAGTGTGTCTTGTTTTAATTCATTTGTTTATTTTCTTCGCAAAATTGCAGTGAAGCAAGAAAATCTTCTAACAAGCCAGCGCCTAGCAAATTGCTTGACAACCTCATCTACAATTATAGTCCCTCTTTTGCTGGGAAAGCTGGGTAAGCTGTTGAGATTCTTGAGAATTAGAATGATGGAATTCAAGAACTTAATTCACATTCTCTCATGCTGTAGGGGTAGTTTTGACGAGGTCTACCTCTTCTCTCCGCGTCCCGCCTTGAGCTCTCTGTAGATGCCAGTGAACTGCTAAAGCATTGAATGTTCTAAGCTTATACATGAGAAAGATGCCATGCGAATGTTGTTCATGGTTCGGTTTGGTCTTCAATCTCCAGTTATCCAGCAACTCCGACAAGCGAATCTTTATACCACTTGTATGATGATTGTTTGCTTATAATTCCGCTGCCCAAATAGGTTCCAAACATGGCTGGTTTTTTTTTTTTTAACCCTTCCCTACTTAGGAAGATCTATATTATTTTCACACTTACCCTCCAGCGTGACTCGAACCCAGGACCTAGTGGTCGTGGGTGGAGGTGCTTTTACCAATTGAGCAAGCCTCACTTGTCCAAACATGGCTGATTCAATGTTGTTTTTCTCGTGCAGTTGTTTGGTATGTCACCAGAAAGATTTCAAGCACACAGTTATGTATTTCACGGCTTGTTTGCATATATGACAAGATATGAAAAGAATTATTTTTCATTTTATGTGGCACTATTTCCTTATTTTCTAGAAGTACTAACTTAATAATTAGATTATTTAGTTGATGATTAGCGTAATTTCTCATATTAAAACTTTATTTAAGGTTTATAACCTAGTGGTACTGTTAAGCCATATAATAAATGTGAGCTCAATTTTCACTATGTTCTTTCCCTTTACCTTCCTGTGTAATAGAGGAGGATTTTTTTTTTTTTAAATAGAAACTTAATTTTGTCCTTGTAAACTTAAAATGCCACAATTCGAATCGAAACACTAAGATCTAATACAGTAACTTGTTCCCATGGGTGTGTTTCTTATGAAGGAAAACATATTTCAGGAAATAATTTTGAGAAAATAAGTTTTTTTTTTTTTTTTTCAAACACCAAAAGATATTCACTAAAAGGGAAATAATGACTTTCTTTGTTTATGTTTTTCTACATTTATTATCCATTTGAAGTAGTTTCTAAATACTAGTGAATACTAGTTACTGAGATAAAATTTCTTCTGAAAAATATTTTCCATCACTCCAAATATATATGTTTGAATTTTGCATATTCAAAAAAGGAAAAAAAGAAAAAAGAAAAAGAAAAACAGTTTTGTAATTTTCTAGTAGACTATCTCAAAGCACGTGAAGCGCACGTGAGTTCCCTACCCCCTTGGTCCCAGAGAAATAGATACTCTCCCATATAAAACCCCAAAAGTCCTTTACAATGGCGGGAAATCGATTGCTATTTGCGTGGGAAATTCGTATTCTCTTTCTTCTCCGTCAGATTTGACCCGACCCGTATCTGACATACCCGAAAATGGCGAATGACATGGAAACCCTAGGCATCCTCGATGAGATTCAAGCTCTTGTATCAGACAAACTTCAAGTGGTAAACTCTTCCGCTTGTTTGAATATATTCCCTTGTTGACTATTAAATTATCATTACGGTAATTTAGAATAAATGTTTCTATTGTTATATTTCTAATTTTCTATAATAATTTACTTATTGAAGGTGATTTATTTATTCTATCAGCTCCTTACTTTTGCTAATATCACTAAAATTATTTATAAAGTGCCTTTTTTTAATTGATTTATGAAACTTAGTTGTTTTAGAAAGTTTTATGCTTGCTAATTTTGGAAAAAAGAAGCTACCCCTGTCCCGTTTTATGTGACAGTGTCTGGCTAGGCATGAAGTTTAAGAAAGAAATAATTTTGAAACTTGTGACCTAAAACAAGCCATGGATTCATTTGTACAGCTGAGAAGTTTAAAGTTAATTTTTTTAAAATATAAAAGTGTGTCATTTTTTGGGACAACCTAAAGAGGAAAGTGCGCCGCATAAAATGGATTAGAGGGAGTACTTCTCATTAATGAGAAAGCACATATTTTTTGATTCATAAAGCTATCTATTTGCATTAGTTGCATAATTTTAGAGGGTAAGAGGGCAGTTCTTAATACTTCACTTTCCCCTTGTTTTTGCTATGTGTTT